TCTTCTTTGTTACTGGAAAATCATAAGATATTTGTAATTACAGGGGTATTAACAATAGTATGATTAGTATCTAAATTCTTTTTATTTCTCGTTGATAGAGTAATTTAGAATATATTTTAATCAAATCATAGTTTTTATATATATATTCAGCCCGTGCCAGAAAAATGGCGACTTCCAGTTTTCCATACAAGAAAACTATTTCGATTTCATATTTTTTTCAAACTTGAGTTACTTGACCCCCCCCCCCCCTAATTTTTTTCTGCCGGCACACTTGTGCATATGCATAAGTAACCAATATCGATTCTCTAATTAAATACATTGTTATATCGGTGAATGTTGATTTAAATACAAAAAGCCTTATTTACAGTTAAAATCTGTGTATTTGATAATAATCGCACCAGTGATCGAAATGTTGTACCTGTTTTAAAAAAAAGTTCTTCCTTACTGTAAAAGCTATAACCTGTGAAAAATACTTGTGTGATTTTGTTTAAATCAATAACCTATGAGTGCTTGTTGTTTTGTTTTTAACAAAACATCATGTATGGAGGCTATATGTTTTGTAGTCATGTTTGCCCATATTTAACAAATATTGGATGATATTTTCCTATATTGAATTTTTTAAGAGCAAAGCATGTGGAGAAACTTTGTGTTTAGTAGAATTATTTGTCTTAATGTATAATTTTTGAGGTTTTTTGTTGTTGTTTTTTGAAATGAAACCAAGTGAATCTGTCATATGTTTAGCAGTTTCGACTGCTTATCTTTTAGTGAATAGTGTTTCATTGTATTGGTTTTATTAAACAACCAACTATATGGAGAAGATATATAGTTAGCGGTCGCTTTCAAGTCTTACTGGTATTGGTCTGTTAGGATTTTCGTCATAGAAAGCTACACATTGGACTATCTGCATTCTGTCCACCGTAGTAAATCGAAACCTGGTTATTAGCATTGTAAGATCGTAAACTTTCCGCTGACCACAAGGGACAGTATTGGTTTATCTAACCACAAGTAATGTGGTGCTGCTACATAATTAATAGTCTTTTCTCGATTATAGTATAATAAACAATGTGCTAGTTATTACTGTATATCTTTTAACCACGCTCTCTGGTTTGTTTGTATTTTAATTAATGATGTCTCAATTTTTCTAGCATTACATCTTAAAACACATATGTAGTTTTTATAATTTTAGTAGCCTATTTTGATTGTGTCTTAATGAATAATATAGTAGTTTTTCTTGTATCGGTTTCTTTAACCAGAAAACTATGAGCTTTTATATTATCAACAACTACAAACGACAAAACTAAAACAATACCATAAAAATAATTTTATATAATGGACTAACTGGGATGATCTAATGGTATATGACAATTCACTAGAAAATAAAATTATAGTTATTAAAAAGTATTGATTCATCAATTGGGTGTTCGTGCTTAGTAGCCAGGTCTGATTGTCTTTTAATGAATGTGTGATTTTTGTTCTATACGCGTAGCGGTCGTCCTGTTTGATTATGTTTCAATGAATAACGAGAAATATTTTATTTTCTGTTTCACGAGAAGTCGTATGGAGTTTCTATATTTCTAGTAGTGTTTTTCGATTGTGGTTTGACAAGTAATGTGTGCGTTTTCGTTTTTAACGATAAAGTGAATGGGACATGTATATGGATATAGTGAACAGTAACATTTCTGTTTTAATAAATAACGTATTTTTTAAAGATGAGGCGCTGCAGTTCTGTCTCATTGTATTTTAATGAATAATTGGTAATTATTTGTTATGTTTTTCATCTACAAAATCTTGTTTGATTTTCTCTTGTACTGGTTCTCTTAAATACAAAGCCTTAAGAGAGTTTCCATATGTTTAGCAGTGATGTTTCTTGTGTTTGATTGATTAATGGCGAGTTTTCTCTTGTTTTTTGTTTGATTAACCGCAAAAGATGTGGAGTTGTTATGTGTTTAGCAGCCCGGGTTGATTGTATTTTAGTCAGTAATATTACAAATTTTGTAGTTTTTCAACTGCAAAACATGAAGAGATGCTTTCTCTTTTTAGCAGTCTTGTTTCATTGCCTTTTAATGAATAAGTTGCGACTTTTTTTTTGTAAAACAAAGCATAAGAAGCTGCCATGTGTTTAGAGGTTTTGTTTGATTGTATAATGAATGAGTTTGCTTGAATTGGAGCAGTTATATTTTTACTCGTGTTTCCAAAACTGTCAAATATTCCAATTATTTAGAATTCGATTATCAAATTACATAAACACATATTTAAAAACGTCCAATGCTATAAGTTACAACACACAAGAGTAAATACTATTTAAATGCTTATATTTTTAAACATGAGCAGACTTTAGAATTATGATCTGATGCATGTGAAACAAAAAATAAATACAAAAATTGTTATCTTAAGTTGCACTAGGTAAAATGCTACTGCTTCTTACGTTAAACTCTAAAAATTCCTGTTAAGAATTAATTTTATTTGGAATTAATAACGTTTTATATTTTCATTACGTTCCACATATTTATAATCTTTTATTTATAAAAATTACCAAAATTATTTTAATTTATAAACATGATTAATACTACTTATAAAAATCCACACAGTTGATGGATTTTCCGGATATTATTTTTTTTTTCTATGAACGTGAATATTGTTAGTTTGAGCATAAATGAAGCTAAGTATTTTACTTTATGGGCATGAAAATACTAGTAGGAAAAATCGATTCGATGCTAGAGTTCCCTTGGAATTATTTTATTACTTTTATGACAGAAAATATTTTTCACTGAATATTATTATTTTTATTAATTTTCTTAAACTCGTACATCTCTTAAGAAATATTTTTGTTTGGTTTAAGAATGTTTATGTTTTCATTATGTATCACAAGTAGTCAGTTCATGACTTGAAAATTTATTAATAAAAATTAACGAATATATCTCATTGTATGAGCATAAATACTAAACTGTTAGTAAAAATTCATACAGTTGGTATATTTTTCTTAACACCCCTCCCCTCAGCGGTAAGTCTAAGAGCTTAAAACACCATAAATCGAGTTTTTTTATACCCGTGGTAGACAGAACACAGACACCCCAATGTGTAGCTTTCTGTTTAACAACAGACAAACATTTTTTGAAAGTTTTTTGACCTCCAGTGAGTCCGTGACACGTATACAAAATTGGAATGTTAACATCCGGGGTCCGGTTCTCGCAGTTTTGCACTAAAAAACAACAAATTATTTAAATTTATGAGCTTGAAAATCATTAGTAGGAAAATATATGGTGGTGTTTACAAAAAACAGTTCTACATCATGGACATAAAATATTATAAGAAAAACCGATTTGTTGATGGATTTTCTGCGCTAACTCACATCTTAATTTGCATTGAATATTTGTCTAATGTTCTATAACGTAATGAAGGAGAATTTTTCCTTCTTCCTATCCTATTCCTCTAGCTTTCTCTGTGTTATCTTTTGGGTACATCAAATATTTTTTCATTGTGTGACAGATTTACTATCCTATATCTATTTTAATATCGATGTTTGTTAAGTTAAATTTATATATATAGAAATGTACATAACTTATACTGTTAAATCTGTATTGCGAAATTCCCGCCTATTCACTAAAATTATGGAAAATTGTCGAGTGTAAGAATCAACAATATGTGTGTGTGTATCTAAACACTGGTGTATCGTTTAAATTGTTGCGTAAGCTGAAATTTCGAGAAACTCTGCACACGCCTATAAATATAACCAACGTAATGCGCCAAAAGACAGTATATATTATTGGTTTGCTATAGTTAGTGTACTGTAAACCTCGGAAACTATAACTTTGGTTAGTATAACGGTTATTAATTGGAAACTTCAGATATTTTATCAGGAACGTTTATAGATTTCGAATATAACAAACCATTTAACTTCAGCGAATTCACATCGAACATTAGTATTTTTACGAAAACATTATATAACTTCATCGGTGTACAACTCGGCATGTGTGGCCGTCCAAGAACGAAGAACAGAGCTACCTAGCTCCCTGTTGAGGGAGCTGTATCTACGTCAACTCAAAATTAATTCTCTCATCGTGAACTATCGATAAGATATCAAGGAAGTTCCAGACCAGATAGAGGACTCAGTATTGTTTGCAAGTTTATAAAATTTTTGTAACCTTTATTGTAAATTGTGTTGTTATTTGTATATTGAAATATATTTGTATTAAAAAACTGTGTGTATCAGTCTTGTTGGCAAGTGTCATAAATTGGATACATATCGACATTTATTTAATCTTTAAATCTAAATTATTATTTAACTCAGTTTCAGGCTATTCAAACTTACAATACGTTACGTAATAATTTGGAGACTCATTCGGGATAAATTATAATACATAACATAATAACTGATATTACACCTACTGTTTATGATACCAAAAATTATGTAAATAAAAATTAGGTAAGTCACAATATAAGAATTTCAATAACCCAATTGTTTTCGGAAATTATACTTTCGTTTTTCAAAATTGAATTGTATTGCAATTACTGTTGTTTTTATTCATAAAGTTCAGGTGGATAACGTCAACTGAAACATTTCAGACTAACAATTGTTTTATTTCTGATGTGTAACAAACAGTTCATAAAATTTTGTCGAGTAAGGAATTAGAATTATAAGATGGAGACTCCAATCCAGAAGATATATATCTTTTTTAAAGTCACATAACATTAAAGCCAGATATTTTCTAATCTCTATACAACAATTTTTTATCTTTAAACAACAGTATGCTAAATTATTTGTGTTCTCAAGGTAAGGTTCAGGCGGAGAGTTTTGTTTCTCATTAATATATTCCCAGTTTTTATTTTAGGTAAAAAACAAAGAAAAAAAAAACTGTCGCGTTGGGTATCTGGAAGGAAACGTAGCTGTTGAATAATTCAGTATTTTTTCCACTCTAATTCTAAAACTACGCTTATTACTCCCACATTAGAACACTAGTAGCGTGAATTGTGGTGTTCACGAACATATACGGTATTATCTCAAAACTAACATGTACAGTAACAATAAAAACGAAAATTTAAGTATTAAGTATGGATTTTTTTTAGGATTTATTGATCAGTAATCAGCTAAAATTTCCAATCCTTATGTGCTCAGAATGTGTTTTAGTTTCCTTGATTCTAAACGAAATCTTGATGTGATATCTATGTAGCATGGAACATGTCACAAAGCAATCTTTCAATTGGAATATTTCCGATGGTTTTTCGGAAGAAAGCTTCCTCAATTGCATGGCTACTTATACGTCTGACTACAGATAATACAAGCAACAACTTCCCGAAACGAACTTTAGATGGTGGCTGTTTCGTTAAAACGTATTCATGTAACATCAGTTGAGTCTGGTCCTGCAGCAATTCTACTTGGAGAGGATCACGCAAGCCATGGACTTCTGTCAGAAGGAATAAGAACATTTACGAGTTTTAGAAATTAACAGGAACAGGAAGCTAAATTCATTTAAAACGATTTCTTAATACTGTGACAAACTTTTGCGAATTATAATTTTTTTATTCATAATTTGTGTGATTGATTAGTTTAAAAGTAAAAAGAAATTCTGTACGAAAATCACAGACACTATGTTTCAATATTTCTGATAACTCATACAGAAGTTTAAACCAAATGTATATTTTCATTTTTTGTTGAAACTGAAATAAAAGTATGAGAAGCATTAGAACTAGGGTAATATATTTGGTATCTTAAACTTTAACGGTTCACTGCTATATATGAAAAAAAGTAAATACCTGGCTTAAATAACAGTATGGTTTTTAGATATGCGTATTCAGTGCTATTAACTTGAAGCGAAGTTAGCTGTGACATCACATCTTTCATGAGCTGAAGCTGGTTGACGACAACAACACGTTTCTCAGGACTTAACGTAGCACTCATAGATAACACCCCTGAAAAAACTAAAGATTTTTAGTTTTACACAGACACATACATACTCACACACACAAGTATATATATATATATATACATATTAAATTTTAATGCTTTTCGAGAAAAAGGCAACGCAATATTGATGCTTATACAAGTAATTTTATAAACGTTATCTCATTTGCGCTTTGAAAGTGAAGATGACTGACTAATTCTTCCATTTTGGAATGAAAAAAGAAAGAATTGTTAGGTTATTTTGATGAAAAAGAAATGTCCTGCATAGAGGTAGGAACTAGAGAGATTGCGTTAGGGATGGTGGTGCTAAAGTAGGGCGGCTAAAGCTCGACCGCCGAATGCGATTCCCTAAATTCTTAGAGGTCAAGTGCAATAGAATAATGAGACAGTATTTTAGATAGATTGCTCGTTTTATTAACTTAAAAAGGTGCTCTTTGAAGCCTTGAGGTTTTTAGCCTTTCCATAAATGCACGTATGAGTGAAATAAATATTTAAAGCTATCTGATCATCTTTGTTTTTAAATTTGAAAACTAGAAACCCACTTTTCAGAAAATATAAGTTTGAAGATGGCTTGAATTGGTATTGAAGAAAACTATATTATAAAAGGACAACATTTCGACAAGAATATGTCATCATTAGGTACAAGTAATTTAGGGAGACACAGAAATATATATACAGTATGGAACAAAAAGGTCAAATGACCGGGGATTGCTTAGTAAATATATATTGGTATCCCGGAGTGTTGGTTTAGGGTTGACTGTTTTGTTCAATTAAGATAGCTTCCTTTATTTTGCGTTTATTGATGTTTAATTCTTTGTTTAAAATTACAATGTTTGTATAGAAATACTGTGTTTTTGAGTTGCAATGGTGGTAAACATGAGAGTTTTTTAAAATTATGTTCGGGGATTCTGGTTTCTAATTTTCTTCAGGGGAAACTTGTCAAAAGACATAAAATTCCCGTTGACTTCAAATTCACTCAAAAACCTAGCCCTAAACTAAAATCATTACTAATTAAAAAATTACATAGAATCACACAATACTAACGTCATTTATATAATACCGTGCGATAACTGTCCAGAATTCTACATTGGAAATCAAACTCAACTCACAAACAAAATTGACACCAATACAACAAACAACAACACAAATTACACTGCAGTTTACCATTCATCCTTGAAATCAGTTCAAAAATAATCAACACTTGGAGAAAACTTGCCATTAAACATAAACTTCCTGTTGACTTCAAATTCACTCAAAAACCCCGTGGTGGGCAGAGCACAGATAGCCCTGTGTGTAGCTTTGTGCTTAACTGCAAACAAACAAACAATGCATAGAATCACACAATACCAACGTCATTTATAAAATAATGTTATTTAACTGTCTAGAATTCTACATCGGAGAAACCGGAAAAAGATTGGAAACCAGATTCACCGAACATAATAAAAAACACTCCCATGTTTACCACCATTGCAACTAAAAAAAACATGATATATATATCTATACAAAACACTGTAATTTTAAACAAAAACCAAACATCAACAATTGCAAAATAAAGGAAGGTATCTTAATTGAACAAAACAGTCTACCCTAAACCAACACTCCGGGATACCAAGATACCTTTACTAAGCAACCTCCGGTCATTTGACCTTTTTTTTATTCCATACTGTATATATATATATTCACGTGTCTCTCTAAACTATTTGTACCTGAAGATGACATAATCTTGTCGAAACGTTGTACATTTATAATAAAGTTTTCTTCATTACTCATTCAAGCCGTCTCCAAGCTTTTATTGTCTGATTATTTTGTATTGTAACAACTCGAAATAAATGAAATGATTGGTTGGTGCTTATGTTGTGAAAATCAGTTGAGTATATCAGACCAACATCTTCACATAGGGAATATGTTAATTTTTAATTTATATCAGAACTCTTATAAAAATATGCAATTACTTTAAATTTGTTGTCGTTTTTTACTTTACCTTCGTGCAGGGGAAATCCCCACTGAGCAGCACTCAGGACAAAGACGTCACTCCACGAGTCTTCCAACAGGATGGCTTGGTCTCGAAAATGGAGTTGTAGGAAAGACGAGATTCCACGAATCCACTTAACCGAAAAAAAAAGCAGTTTTGCAGCTGATTCGTAGACTCTGTCGATATGTGCTGGGAAAAGTGGTTGGAAAGATGATGAGGCCCGGTTACCACTAACACCACTATAAGAGTAGGCAAACGAACCCAAAATGGGAATATACGTTGGATTTGTAATACTAAGTAGAGGAGACATTTTTGAATTGGGGGAATTAAGATTTAGTCCCATGATACCGGAATGTTGAGATTCTGGAACATTCTTATGCTTTCTAGTATTGGTGTTAGTAGAATCGCTTAATCCTCGTATTGAGCCAGCCGACATCTTGACAGCTAGTGCAAAGTAATGTCAGTTGAATTATTAACAATAGAAATATGCTAAGAGTATTTTCTTGCAATTTACATTTATAGCAACAACTTAAACCTCTTCAATGTAAACTAACCTCAAAAGTTAATCATTTTCATTAGAATTGTGCGTAAGTTGTATAATTTAAAATTATATTACTTATGTGGGAATGAAACATTTTCAAAGAAAATAAACTTCGTGTAAGAAACATATTTAATTGGAAATGATTTTATCATATACCTTTTAATAATTCTAATAAGGATTTGAACGCTCTAGTTTGAAATTCGTAATAGATTCATAACAAACACATGCGGTTAAGTATGATATTTTGTATCCATTAGATAAACTCTATAGAGCTTTTTTGCTTTAGTACATTCATGATTTACACTTATGGATGAATTTATCTTCCAGGTTTTATTTGTTTTTGTATGTTAACTTGTATACAAACATTTTTATTTAGAAAGAAAAAATAAATAAAATAACTACATATAAATTTAAAATGCATAAAAACCTGTATGAGAGCATACTGAACCAACTTAGAATATTCATAAATTACAAACAGCTAAAAGTCTTGAAATTTATGAATTACTGTTTCACTTTAAATATTACTGAAGTGCTCCTTGATAGTCTAAGATATACACAAAATAAATAATTTGTATGTCTTAATATTTAAAGCTATCAAGGTCTTATATTAAAATGATTAAAACATTAAAAACACTGAAAATGCAAAATGAAAATTATACAAAGAGGCGCATTTCAATATATGTCTACATGTAATTTGTTCAACAAGATTGTTTCACTTACTTCATCTAAACTCCGATTGATTAATTCTGGTTTAACTTCGTTAAGTTCTTCCAGTGACATAATGAGCAACTTAACGACTAACTATTTTCGATTATTCTACGACTGGAGGATGAAATAGTTTGTTCAATTTTGTTAAGTTTACTAATAGTCCTTGTACGTATTCATTGGTATAGCTGCTTTCCAAATTTAATGTGTTAAAATGGAGGGCAGTTTACTAAAGGTCTATCATTATCCTTTCTGCCAATGCACATGGAACGTCATCGATTGTTGTTTTTGATGCGAGACAAGGCGTGAAGTTCACACAAATGTCCATTGTTCTCATTTTGGTATCCAATCCATATCGTTAACACAAAAGCTTCTTGTCATGAAGCTATTATACGTGCAGTAACTAAGGTTCTTTGTATTTGTCGATGATCGTCAAAAAAATGCTGGTTGTTGTGGTATGATACTAGACTTCGTTGTGGCTTTTCCCTGCATTATGAACAAGCGTAATTTTAATAAGCCTTTCACGAAGTACATGAAAACTTACTTTATTAAAATGACAGGTATTATTAAGTTTACCACCTGAGTTTCCCTGTTCTGAGCTTGTGGCGTGAATATTAAATTAATTATAAGTGTACCACGAATTTCAAATGCATACAGATATAACAGATACCGAGAAAGCTGAAAATTTACTTCCATGCAGAACGCTATGGCAGTCAAATTGGAGGGTTCGTCAGTTTAACATTACTATACAATGCTAAGTTTTGAGTATAATATTGATTTTATTGAAATTACACACTAAAACTGAAGACCTTTTGGTGCAATAGAAAAAATGATTCCAAAGTGAATTTACACGACTTTACAAATATTTGACAGTTCGAGCATATACAATCTGCATCTTTTGTGATTATTAGAATAATACAACCTGAAATCTAAGTCGATGCTCACAGTATTTCTAATATAGGATGTAAGACAAAGCAAAGCCGGTCAATTTATTTGAGGTCTGAATGTTTTCCATTTGTTCTAGTCAAGTCATTCTGCATTTTTATCTGATTATCAAGTAATAATGCAAAATGCTGTATCGTTTTTTTTCGTGCAAACAGTGCCACTTTCCCCATTTGCAATAGTGCTAATGCCGTTCTAGTGCATATCATTACCATCAAAACTATTGTTACCAGTACCATTTTCTCCAGGATTTGTCTATCACTAATGCATGAAGCAGAGGACCAAAATATATTTCTTTATTTTGTTCCTCAGACTTATAATAGTTATACTTGTAAGGCCACTCAGTATTCGATGGACTGAAAATTGTGCTACATGTTTTGACATAAAAAGAGTCAACATGAATAATTTTTTTATCCCTATAAACGCAATAAAAATGCGATTCCTACTATTCAAAATACCACTGAGGAAACTTCTGTAGAATTTGAGCGTAGGTTTATGAAATATTAAATAAACTTATCATGACTTGCAAAATCCACTAAAGATAAAATGTACATTAAGCGAGAGATGCCTTTTGGAGTACATTTAGATGAATCGCTACAGAAATACATATACAACTTCTTTAAAATAATTTGAAAATTGTCTATTTTAATTTTAAAAAATGATAATATATACGGTGGTATTCAGTGAGCAGCTGTTATTATAATAAGGAGAATGTATAAAATAACTTTAAACGCCGTTGATGAGACATGGAACTGCATTGTGATATCCTCAGAACAAAGCATATGAAACAATAACTTTGTATTGGATATGACAATCCAAGAGCTAAATTATTTTTACCATTTTCCATGATGTATAGCAGAAACAGCTGGTATGGTATTAAAAGCTTTAATTAAAATAAAGTACAAGAACAACGTTTGAAACTGACCGTTACTGGGCACATGTGTTGGGGACGAGAGTGTGAACGTGTTCGTGATTGTAGGGGGCGCAGCAGTCAGATGATTAATTAATATAGGTCTAAAGGTGTTCCTTTATGTTGGTTCAATTATGGTTAGAGATCCTGTATAAGTAGAGCTTTTTTAATTTTGCGTTTGTTTGTCTTTGTTTCTCTACTTAATATGTTGGTGTTTTCTATGGTTATGTTGTGTTTATTTGATTTGCAGTGCTCAAAAACTTGGAAGGTGTTTTGTGTTCATTTAATCTGGTTTCCATTTTCAGCTTGTTTCTGTGAGGCCCGGCATGGCCAGGTGGTTAGGGCACTCGACTCGCAATCTGTGGGTCGCGGGTTAAAATCCCCGTCACACCAAACATCCTCGCCCTTTCAGCCGTGGTGGCGTTATAATGCGACGGTCAATCCCACTATTCGTTAGTAAAAGAGTAGTCCAAGAGTTGGCGGTGGGTGGTGATGACTAGCTGCCTTCCCTCTAGTCTTACACTACCAAATTAAGGACGGCTAGCGCAGATAGCCCTCATGTAGCTTTGAGCAAAATCCATAACAAACAAACAATTGTTTCTCCGATATAGAAGTCGTGGCAGTTGTTGCATTGTATTATATAAATATTGTTTTAATTAAAGTTTTTATTACCCATACCAGCCGTCTTTGCTATACATTTTTACTTAAAGTGGATTTCTCGTCATCATGCATTTTCCATGATATCAATAATTTGATTAACTGAGAAGGCTGTTAAAAATATGAGAGTAATATGCTACATTAATTAATGCACATAATTAACATAACGAATACATGTTTCAGCCGCTACAGCCACCACTGTTAACTTTCTCTCCTAGTAACCACCTCAAGCCCTCTTGGTGTAGAAACAACTTTGTCAAGGACGAGTTGTTCCACATTTCTTGAGATTCCACAAGGGTTTGCTAGGAAGCCCTTCACATTATATTTTGATATATATATGCTTTCCCATGTAGGCATTGGTGATCATCCACATAAACAGCCATGTTCTTATGATATCTATGCTTTCGAGTTCTGAACTTTGCCCTATTTTAGTTTTATTTGGACAGAATCTGTGGCACAAATCAGTCGTGAACATGTATCAATCCCTGAATTTTCCTTGCTCAAATGCTTTATAGTATTAAACAATGGAACATCCAAACTCAGCATTATACAATGCACCACCTATACTGTACCAACAACTCCAGAGTATTGCTTGCGCAAAATGGTTTAAGAAATGGTTCATGTTCTTCTTGGCACTATCTCTGAATGCTGTTTGAATAAGTTACTTTAACCCTATCATTTGTCGAATGCACGCCTGCATATTAAATTTGAAAATGCAAGTAAAAATGTATCATTCTAATTCTATTTAAAAAAGTTTGTATTAAACAAATGTTTCAGAATTGGTATTTTAGCATTGTACAATACCTACTTATCATTCTTTACAAAGAAAAATTACTGTTAACTAATATTTAATTGACAGTTATTTGATATTCTATATGTTAGCTGTTAATCTACTGCCAATTTCAAGGAATGTCCTGAAAAGGACAGTATGCAGTGGTACACCAAAAATTAGCAGAAAGGTATAGTTTGGTTTGAATTTCGCGCAAAGCTACACCAGGGCTATCTGTGCGCCCTCCAGTGGAACAGCAATATGTCTGCAGATTTACAACACTAGAAACCGGGTTTCGATACCCATGGCGGGCAGAGCACAGATAGCCCTTTGTGTAGCTTTGTGCTTATCTACAAACAAAGAAAAAAGGAAACAAAGTTTATCTGCACTAGCCGTCCCTAATTTAACAGTGATAGACTAGAGGGAAGGCAGTTAGTCAACACCACCCACTGCCAACCCTTGGGCTACTCTTTTACCAACGAATAGGGAGGATTGACTGTAACATTATAACGCCACCACTGCTGAAAAGGCTAGCATGTTCGGTGTGACGGGGATTCGAACCCGCGATCCGCAGATTGCGAGTCGAACATGCCCGAAGCAGGAAGGAAATTACAGACACATAAACATATTCCTCTATGTCAACGGTCTCTTTGAAAACATATAAAGGATATGGAAACAACATAAAGCCAGAACAGTGAACAAAACTACAACACAGTACAAATATCGCACACCAATGTATTTAAAGACGTGATGGAGAGCATACACACCAATTACAGCATCTCTTGTGAATGTTAGTTCTATATATTGGAAAAATAAAAATACCAACAAAAGATAGAATTCAGGAGCACAACAAAACTGTACTAGTAGCCTATCTGCAATATCCCATCATGCCACAGACGAAAATCATCAAATAAAATGAA